TTTAAATATATTTTTATTGATTTTTTACAGAGAGGAAGGGAGAGAGATAGAGAGTTAGAAACATCGATGAGAGAGAAACATCGATCAGCTGCCTCCTGCACACTCCCCACTGGGGATGTGCCTGCAACCCAGGTACATGCCCTTAACCGGAATCGAACCTGGGACCCTTCAGTCCGCAGGCCGACGCTCTATCCAGTGAGCCAAACCGGTTTCGGCTAGAAATTATTTTTTGCTAATAATTACTTAATTATCCCATTTGTAAAACTCTCTCTTCAGAATTTCGTTTAAAAGATAACTAAACTGTAAGTTAGGGTTTGCGTAGAATAATGAGGCTTTTTCTGGTAGGGACAATTGATTTCACATCTGCAGGATCCATGTCCTCCCTAACTAGCGGACTCTGAGAAGACTGAACATTAGGAGACAGAACTAAGTAGCAATTTATAATATTTTCAATGACACAGAGTTAACATTTTTCTGTACTCCCACTGTTTGAAGGAGGCAGTGTAGCAGAGGGCTTAAGACTGTTCCCAGCTATAAAATTTTAGTTATGCAAGGTGAATATGTTCTAGAGATCTGTTGCATAACATCATACCTATAATTAACAATATTATATTGTACACTCAAAAGCGTGTTGTGTTCTTACCATAATGGAAAACATAATGCACTACAATACAATGCAATACTTGGCACTCTGAGACTGTTCGCTTTTACATCCTGGCTCCACTTCCTCCGTGCTTTGGACTTTGGACAAGTTGTTATGCTTTTCTAAAGCTCACTTTCCTTCTCTATAGAATAGGCTGATTGTAACACCTCATAGGATTGTGATCATTGAGGGAGTCGGAGGCGGAATAACATGGTTATAGAGAGGACTGGTTTGGGCTGACTTCATAGGCTTGAATTCTCACCAATTTAATTTAACCTCTCTGCCTGTATTCTTATTTACAAAAGAGAGATTGTTATAATAACAAATTCCTAGGGTGTTTGTAAGGATTGAGTTAACACAGAAAAAGAGCTTAGTAGAGTACCAAGCATATAGCAAGTGCTCAATAAATGTGAGCTCTGACTATTAGATGTGAAGTGGGCTTGCAAAGTTTGAATTGAATTTGCTGAAAAGTAAAACCTGGTCCTGCTCTAAGGGCTTTTATAGCTTAATAAATGAGAAGGGGCCAGGGAAAAAATAATGATACATGTCGATTTTATGTTTGTTCATTTGGTTGGTTAAGTTCTAGGCAATTTTATAATTGACCTAATTGCAAAGAGGTGGCTGAGCAGCACTACCAATAAAATGTCCTGTGACTGTGGTTCCAAGTGTTTGAGGTGACTTAGAACTATGACTTTAAGAAACAGAAATGCTTCCCCTCTCCCTGACCTAACCCTACCCTTATCCCTGTTTGGTTTCAGTCATCTGGGACTCCAAAGGAAGGGTGGAGAAGTGGTTACTAAAGCTCACTTCCCCATGTCAGCAATCTCTGAGCAGTCCAAAGACGGATCCCCTGCCTGTTCTGTTTCTGCTGGCATGGGGAAGTGAGCATTTCTAACCACTTCTCTACAGAGCAGGAGTTATTGAAGCCAAAAAATTCTTCCTCAAAAATCAAGTATAGATTGGAGAGAGGCTCCACTCTAAGTAGCTGTGATAAAGTATAAGTTTTGTTTCTCGGCCTTTGAAAGTTATTTACAGCAGACAGCTTGGAAGTCGCCAAGCTGGGTTGCAGGGCAGTCACCTGCATTTGCTATGCTCAGAAGTGACTCTGAAGGTCACAGCAAGGACCATCAGCCTGCAGAATTGCAGAAAGCAAAGGGTGTGCAGTCAGGTTGATCTTGCTCTACCACCTGCCCCATACCAGGCAAGTCCTTACCTGTCTGCACTTCAGGCTTTTTACCTGTGAAATAGTAATAATATTGGCTATCGCAATTTGAGTGCTTATGATGCTCCAAGCACAATTTGAGGTAGGTACTATTCTTCCCTTTGCACAAATGAAGAAAACGGAACTCTGAGATTTTAAATGACTTACTCAGGGTAAGAATCAGTATTTATATTCAGGTCTGTCTCTAAAACCTATGCTAAGGAGCTAGAACCACTCCCTAAGCCTGGAATGTTCCAGGAATGCAATAAATCACAACTATTATGAACATTTAAAAATAACATTGACCATGATTATCATCTGCACATAAGAATATGGGATAAAAGAAAAAAAGGTCAATGTAGGACTAATTGTCTTTTTCACACTGACACATACAAACACCATCTTAAGGTTTGTTGAGGAAAATACTTGTCTCTTAGTATAATGGCTTGACCAGAGTTTAACTCCATACAGAAAAGAAATGCCATATATGCATGCTGCATATATAATATAATAAAAATGAAGAATGATGGTACTAGAAACTAATGAGAGAAAAAGGAACCCTTGTACACTGTTGGTGGGACTGTAAATTGGTATAGCCAGAATAGAAGACAGTATGGAGGTTCCTCAAACAATTAAAAACAGAACTTCCATATGTCTCAGCAATTCTACTTCTGGGTGTTTATTTGAAGAAACAAAAACACAAATTCAAAAACATATATGCACCTCTATGTTCATTGCAGCATTATTTACAGTTGTGAGGATATGGAAGCAGCCTAGGTGTCCACTGATGGATGAATGGATAAAGAAGATGCAGTATATATATATAATGGAATATTATTCAGCCAAAAAAAAAAACCAACAAAATAAAATATAAGCAGACCCATAGATAGAGAACAGCTGGTAGTTGCCAAAGGGAGTGGGGAGTGGGAAGATGGGGGAGGAAAGAAACTATAAAAAAAAGAAATTAATAAGTATTTTATAACTTTTCAAAAATATTTTATAATTTTATTCCATCTTATGTGAAATCCCTTATTTTTATCCAAATTTAACACGAAAAAGCAGTCTCTGAGTATAATAATGCTATGTCGGGCTTACACTGGTGTTTCTCCCTTTCATGCTCTATTCCAAACACTACCACTAAGTAGCTATACAACCTTTGGCAAGACACCTCTCTTCTCCTGGTCTGGGTCACCTATAACCTATAAAATATGGGCAGGCTGTGGATCATTTCTAATTTTCTTCTCTAATATCTTGGCATCTTACAACCCTTAACCATGGATGGCTTCAGGGATGGTCTGTTTCAAGATGAAACTCATGTGTCCATGGGTTGGTTGCTTAAATTTTGCTTTTTTTTTTTTACCCAATAGTCTTTATCTATGATTATGGCTATGCATTCGACTACTCTGATGAGATTTTTCTATTAAATAATATTTTCTCAAATTTTGATCCTCTACTCTCATCCAAGAGGGTTCTCTGGAAATTTCACTCATGGGATAAATGAAGGAGTGTCCTCAAGATATCTCCATTGTCTTCACATAGTTGTTTTGTAGGGCCCTTCTTCCACCATAACATTAACACTACTAACTTTGAAATTATTTATTTTGCTTATAGAAATACAACAAAGTTGAAAAGAAAGAAGTACAACAAAGTTGCTGTTTGACTGTTATCCTTAACCCCCAATAACAATTAGATTGGGATAGCCTAACCAAACAGAGGCTATGCTGAGTGGAGAGGGCTGGACATTCATTTGTCAGAGCAGTTGGAAGATTTGCTTTTCAGGAAGCTGTTTCTTCCCGGTAGTTGGGCCTCTGAGCATTGCCCAGTCCCAAGAGCAGAGTGTTTCTTTTTTTAAAGATGTCTATGTCTAGGGGCTCATGGGAGAGTCTAACTAGTGACTGGAGTTCTCAACCTCAGTCAAATCTTTCTGAAGTGAGATTGAATTGGGCAAGCACAATGTTTTCTTTGGCTTTAATGAATTTAAAAAATTTCCCAGTCTAAGCATTTCTCGGCTTCATACTTTTCTTTCTTTCTTTCTTTCTTTCTTTCTTTCTTTCTTTCTTTCTTTCTTTCTTTCTTTCTTTCTTTCTTTCTTTCTTTCTTTTCTTTCTTCCTTTCTTTCCTTAGACAATGGATGGTAACCCACATCTCTGAAACAGGGGCCCCCATTTGCGGGGCTTTCATTGTGTGCTAAACATTTTACATACATTTAATTTATCCTCAAAATAGAATGGTGAGTTAGGGATCGTATCTCCTGTTTGTAAATGAGTAAACTGAGATTCAAAGGAAGCACTTGCCCATGGCAAGATACTAATAAGTGCGCCTCGGTTGGCTGAGCATTAAACTGGAGCCTAATAGGTCTTGGTTTGCTTGGATCCTGTCATTTGGCTCCGTGTCTTTTCAAGTGAGTGTTTCAAGGGCTACTGGGTTCCATGACTTGGACTTATTCTTTCAGAAGAACGAACAAGACACTGGACTTTATTTGATCATGAACATCAAACCTTAAGCAACCAAGGGTGTCTTTATATTGCCTCTCTGCAGGGATTCCCTTGCATCCACTATATTTAAACCATAGGCAAATTCAGTGACCTCATAATTTTTCTTTAGTTATGCTGGAAGGAACTTGTTCAGAGAAGACCTGGGAGAGGGCGCCTCATAGTATCCGTCTTCAAATAGCAGAAAATCCAAGAGAGAGTATATACTAGTGTATATACATATATATAATCTATGGTTCCGAAAATAGGGCCTGGGAGAGCTCCAATTGATCAGAGCGGCCCATTAATCCTACTGTCAAGCCCAGATTCCTCCGCAGACACCCAACCCCTGAGATTGCTCCTAGATACAGAGATCTGGGCCTTGGCGTTTGCGTTTGCGTAGCACTCACGCGCCCCCGCCCCAGCCCCGCCCC